GAAAGGAAAAGGAAGGAAGAAAAGGAAGGAAAGAAAGATGGAAAGAAGGGCAAAGAAGGAGAAAGAAAGAAAGAGGAAAGAAAAGGAAGGTAAAAAAGAATGATGGAAGGAAAGGAAAAGAAAGATGGAAAGAAGGGGCAAGGAGAAAGGAAAGAAGGAAGGAAGGAAGGAAGGAAAGACAGAAAGAAGGGGAAAGAAGGAGAAAGAAAAGAAAGGTAGAAAAGAAGAAAGGAAGGAAAGAAAAAGAAAGATGGAAAGAAGGGGAAAGGAGAAAAGAAGAAAAGGAAGGAAGGAGGGAAAGAAGGCAGGGAAGAAAGAAAGATGGAAAGAATGGGAAAGAAGGAGAAAGAAAGAAAGACAGAAGAGGAAAGATGGAAAAGGAAGGAAGGACAGGAAAGAAGGAAGGAAGGAGGAAAGGGAGGAAGAGCGGAAGGGAGAAAAGGAAGGAAGGAGAAGGAAAGAAAAAGGGAAGGAGGGAGGGAGAGGAAAAACGAAAAAGGCAGGCAGGAAGGATGGGAAACGGCCCAAAACAGCCTTCCGGTGACAAAGCCCGGCTGGGGAGGCGGGGCTTGGGGCTTCCTTGGCCCCGCCCCCTGACCCCACCTCTTTCTTCCCTCCCACCCACCCCCCGCCTTGCCTCGACCTCTTCCTCCCCCCGCCCTACTGAAAAGCAATAACAGTAATTAATAATAAAGAAAAATTTCCATCCTATGCGCAATAATTGCGGGCGATCCTCTAGCGCCCTGCATGAGAAGTTGGCTTCCGTCCAAATCCCGGGGGGGCGAAGGATCAGCCTCCCCCCCCGCCCCCACAACCCCACAACCTCCCCCCACCCCTTCAGCACCCTAAAATAAAGGATACTTTCTACAGTTCTTTCGCATCGTTTTTTAATTTGTTTTTTTTTTGAGGAGGGGGCTTAACCAGCGGAACGACTTGCCACCAGAAGTAGTCGGGGTGCTCCAACACGGGAAGTTTTGTCGCAAGAGACTGGGGGACCGGGGCTGGTGGGGGGTGGGGGTGGGAGCAGCCCTCTGCTGGTGGAACGGTATATATAAGGGGTTGGGCTAGATGACCTCGAAGGTGCCTCCGTTATTTCTATGCGAGTCGCCCTGTTTCCTGTTGATAGGATTTCGGGAGTTGGAATTAAGGACCCATGGTGGGTGGGCTAAGAAAACGGGGAGGGGGGAGAGAGAGTTTGGGGGGTACTCCACCCCCCCCCGGCTGGGGATGATGGGAACTGGAAACCGAGACAAGAAGCAACGGGGGTGGGGGGGGGGGGGGAACCAACCGAGGAGAAGAAGCGACTTTAGAAGGAAGGAGGAGAAACTTCCTGACTGGGAGGACAATGGACCTGCGGAACGGCTTGCCACCAGAAGTTATGGGGGCTCCAACCCTGGAGGTTTTGGACTGGACAGTCCTGTGTTTGAAATGGTGTAGGGTCTCCTGCCCAAGCAAGGGGTTGGACTAGAAGACCTCCGAGGTCCCTTCCAACTCCGTTCTATCCTCCTCCTCCTCTCCTCCTCAATCTCCTTCTTATCTATATCTATCTATCTAATTATCTAATTATCTAATCTATATCATGTTTATCTATCATTTCTCTATCATCTCTCTATCATCTATTTATCTATCATCTCTGTCAAGCATCTCTCTTTCTCCCTATGTCTCTATCTACCTACCTACTTACCTATCATCTATCTATCTATTTCTATCTATCTATCTATCTATCTATCTATCTATCTATCTATCTATCTATCTATCTATCTATCTATCTATCCATCCAT